GGTACGGCGCGGAGCTGGGAGGACGCGCCCGCCGAGCGCCAGCCCCGAGGAGCGTGTGAGCATCGGCCGCGCAGCCGGGCTCCTTTTATAGAGTCGTCCCGGCGCGGTCCGCGGCGAGCCGTGCAACTCGTGCGGCGCGGCGAGGACGAGCGCCCGCCCCGCAGCACCTTTCCTTTCTCCACTCCTCCCCTCACCCCCTCCCTCCCTCCCTTCCTCCCTCTGTTTCTCCTTTCCCCTTCCCTCCGGAGCGGAGCTGGCACCCTGGGCCCTACCTTCCTCTTACCCCACCTCCAATCCTTGAGCCCCCTCTTCCCACGCTGGCACCCTGGCCTCGCAGTTCTCTGGCCTCTGCTTGCTCAGGTACTCCCTGCGCGCCTCGCCAGTCTGACCCACAGCTTCGTGGCGCCCGGAGACAGTCTGCGCGGGGCTTCCTGGGCCACTCCTTCGACCCCCCCACCCTCCCTCTCCTGCACCCCACCAGGCCTGGACTAGGCCAGCTTGTGGCTTCTCCACTCAGGAATCCGATCCAGCTCTGCGGGCCACACCCAGGTTAGGAGGAGGTGCTGATAACATAGCCAAAGAAGGAAATGACTGATAAATCCAAATACTTTAAGCTTCAAATGACATTCAACTCTTGGTACATTGCAAACTAGCTTTAGGAATTTGCGCTTTCCTCCTCACCCCCCGCCCCCCCCCAACCATGAGTCAATAGGAGGTGAAAAGGGAGGGAGGAGCTCTTGGCAAAAAATATAAAAGTATCACAAATAAGCCAACTGTATGTGAGTTTAAACAGCGCCCTGTACCAGCAGCTCAGGAGTTGAGCGCCCTGGAAGCAGTTTTCTTCCCTTCCTTGGCCTACCTAGAAAGAGGCAATCCGATTTCAAACAAAACAGGCCTTAAGACCCCAAGTGCACCACCTTCTTTGGCCTAAAAAGAATACACTAAGATATCAGTCAGCAATTTCAGTTCCTAGGAACGATCATCCAGAGCGCACTGAGAAACCAGTGCTCAGATCTTCTCTCTCGGCTGCTAATCTCAGGAAACAAATGTGGAACAGAGCTGCGGTACAAGTTGGAGAAACTTAAGGAAAAGCGCCAAGAAAGGACACTGCCCATGCCCAGGGGGCCGACTGATTTCCCCTAGGAAAGAATCTTGAGCACTTCGTTCAGTGTTTGGCCAGTGCTTGAAACCGGTTCATTCTGGTTCGGCTCCATACTGAAAGTTTGTATTTCCGCCCCTCCACATGTACTGAATCAGGGTCAGGTGATTGTTACATAAGTAATGCCTATGTGCTTGGATCTCTGGAAGGAAGGTGCCGCCTCTCAGCAGGGATTCCAGTGACCTTAACCCAGTCCTGTGTTTGGCACATAGAATGTATCCAATCGCATCGTCTTTGACCTCAGAGTCAGAGATTATGTAGTGTTAGAGAAAAATGCAGGTTTGTTTTTTTTTTAATGAGATAAGAGCTTTTTGCCCAAAGCTGAGTAGTAGCTCTGGCCGCTCCCCCTTCCCTCCCCACACCCCCACATTCCACAAATTGCCATTGGGTTGATGCCAGGCTGCAAACCTGTAGGTGAATAGACAGCCTCACTTTTCTCCTGCAGAGTAGCTGCTGTTTGAACCATTGACCTTGTGGTTAGCAGCCCAAGGCCTAATCCACAGTACACCAAGGCCCCTTAGTTCAAAGGGAGGTCCCGACCTTAATTCTTGAGTCTCCCAACCAGGCAGGTAGGCACCAAATAGAATGCCTACTCTGCTGCCACTTTTTTAGCACCAGGACACAGAGGCCAGCCCGAACGCCATTGTCAAGTCATTGATATTGCAGGAGAGGCGGACAGACATGAACAAGGAATGCAATTTCATACCATCATTAAAGGTTATGAAGAAACTAGCAATGCCCATTCATTGAACGTGAGGGATGCTCCTTTAACTAAGGTGGCAATGCTCCAGCAAAGTCCTTGTCTGCGGTCTGGACTGCAGCAGCCATGCTCTGGTTAAAAGCCCAGCCTTCCCTTCGCTTTCCTCTCCTCGTCCCTAGTGCTCTGCACGTTTACAGCAAAACCGGAGCCTGAGTTGTACGCTGCTTTAAGGGATCCTCCCTGTCGTCCTCTCACCCTACTCCTCCACCTCCCAGTGCCTAGTTAAACTTCCTTACTTGAGAACTGCAGCACACTCCAGAAACCAGAGGGAATCTGAGCAAGCAATCTTAAACCGCTAGGTGGGGGCGTTGGCCTGGATGGAGCCTACGTGTTGGGGTGGGCGGTGCCCAGGGATAGGGTCTGGACAAGCAGCTAGAAACGAATTTCCTAGGATTTTAGAGAAGCTGGGAAAGAGATGGAATTGTCCAGGAGATCAGTCTGAGTGGGGTGGGGGTGGGGG